TTTTGTTTTTTGGTAGGGTTTTTTGTAGTTGAAAATGTAGATACTGGTATATCTTTGTAGACTTACTTATATTTTAAGTTTCAGTATATTCTATTAAGAACTGGGGCTTTTTTTCAGCTTCCAGTCCTTCCATGCATTCATTTGAAATAAATAATTTTCTATCTGACAGGAAGCATTCAAAATGGTTCAGCTGTATGTATTGGACTTTGTTCACTGGGCCAGCAATTGAGTAACTGATTCTTACTAACATTTCTTTACACTTCATGCTAAGATGTGCCTTTGATGAATGCACAGATCCAAACTTTCTCAGAGATCACTGTAGAAAATAGCAGGATTTAATTTTTAGAACTGGATTTGCAACAATCTGAGAGTCTCCAAGTTAAAAATTGAAGGGCATAATGAGGAAGTCCAGATAATGAGGAACATTCTGCTAGTTCACTCGACCAAGCACAAATTTGTCCATTTTAAGTTCAGTTAATGCATTTGTTTGGCAATTCTAAGTGGAGTTCATCTGTTTGTGATTCCTATGTGATGTGAATATGCATCTAAGTGTATGGGGTTTGTTTGCGTATGCAACCTGAATTCTTGAAAGGCAGTTAGACTTTAGGCACAGGGACAAGATAATTTGAGTCATCAGCCACAAATCTATGAAAGCCTAGACAGTGTATGGAAATATGTTTGGCAACAAGACCTGGAAAAGGTTTCCAGTTCCATTGTCTGTCAAACTGTTTGACAACATTAGGCACAGATTGACAGATGTGACTGGAGATCAAGTTCATATATATGCATTTCTACCCACCTGTCTAACCTTCTTTACTTGCCTCATGGCTAAATTGTTAAGCCTTTGGACTCCTCCCTTCAACTGCACTGAATGAAAAGTGCAGTATCTTCTCCATAGAACAGACTCCTTTGTTAAAACCAAGTTCCATGCAAGTTGTTGTTCTGCAGAGCCTTGGCCCCTGCCCTTCTCTTGCCCTTCAGTACCATGGTCCTCACCAGACTGCACCCCAGCTCTTGTCTGGTTTAGATTTCTCACACCTTGTCTTGCACAGTGTGCATGTGGGAAGGAACAGAAAATACCTATATTTCCCTTTAACGTAGTATGGTGATGCACTATTTTGGATTATGGCTTTCCCAAATTTTTGAAGCCTTTATTGGCTTCAACCAGATTAGTCTAGTTTTAAGATATTCCTTCTAAAGAGAAGTAATATCAAAATTGTGTTTACAACATTTGATGCATAAGAAGATATTTCCCTTCAAAGACCTGTCCAAGCTGTTGGCTGCCAGATTCTCCAGGAGAATCCTGGGGAAACCGTGTATAAGATTTTAATAATTTAAAGTAAACAACATCCTCAGCCTTTCCCTCATCCACTAAGAGAATGACCTTGTAATAGAAGATCAGGTTGGTCAGGCAGCATCTTCCTGAAAGTTATTAATTTTCTCTTTTCCTGAAGTATGGAGAAAAAAAAAAGAAGTTATTTAGCCCCCTTAATGTCTCAAGATTTTCACAAAGGTAATTGCTCATTTTCTAATGAACACATAACTAGAAAATGTAAAAGCACAAAATTTCACTTCATATCCATGCAAGCTAAAAACATAAAGGAAAATAATTTTGCTAATTTAACTAACCTTGAAAATCCTTAAAACTATAGTTTCAAATTTTTTACCAAATGCTAAGGCAAATGCAGTATTAGAATTTAGTAGTAACAAAGAAAAATATTTTCCTAGAAGTTTCAGCAGCTGCAAAGAATAACTTCTTGTCAGTGGAAGTAAAGATTGTTACAGCAAAAATAGTGGTACTTTAATAAATTCCAAAATATTTTAAGAAAATTTTTTTTCTTGTCATAGCACTAATTAATTAATCTTTCATGTAATTATAACATCTTCATTTATTATTAGTATCTTGTAGTGATATACATATCTTTTTTATAATCAGCTCTTATATATTTTCATAGAAGTTTATATCAACAGCTGAGAGTAACTTTAATTTGAAGGTCAGATTTAACAAAAATTATTTTGACAGGCTTTTTGTGGTATGCTGCCATCTGTTCACACGACGAAAATATTCTTTTAAGTCTCTCAACCTCTGAGAGATGCTCAAGTCTCTTAAGTAAGTTTGTGATCCTGAGCTGTTCTTAAACCAGTCACTCTGTGTCTGTATTGTACTGGGCAGCCCAGTACTCCACAAGGGTCAATGAAGGTTTTAATAAAATCTGAACATATTTTGAGACCAATCTGTTTAACCAAAGCTTCAGTAACTTCCTTAATTAAAAACAAAGCAAAAAAAACCCTGATATACAGTTGGCAATATCCCCAGTGGTATTTTTAACAAGCTGCATTATTTATGCTATGGGTAACTCTTCAGAGCAGTTTCTTTTTCTGTCACATGTAACCTGTATAAGTGTATTTGCCTTCTTTATGTAGCAGGAGGATGACATCAATACCTTGTCCTTGTCTGTATTGTTTTTAAGGAAAAATAATGTAATTTTGGTATCAAATGTTTGTTACAACCATTTTCATCATCCATCCTGCATTCATTTTTTGTCACACCTGACAGTTTCCCATGAGCAACTGAGAAACTTCTGCATAAATTACCATCAGCTTGGTTGCTGCTATCATGCTGGTCCATGCAAAATTTTCCTCTGCTCACCCTGAAGAGCACAGAGCCTTTGTATTTGAGGATATGAGGAAATGTTACTGTTGCTGTCACTGTCATGGTCACTGTGAAAGTATGGGTGTGATTTGACCAGTTCAACAATTCTTGAATTAATACTTGGGATAAGTGTGGATTACTGTCTCTGTTCTTTGTGTACACACACTACATAAGATTCAGGTATTGTTCCCTAGATAGCTTGACTATGCAAAATATATAACGTAAAGTAATGTTTCTGTACTTGACTTCTGAGTTTACAGGATAATCCTATGTGCAGTTTTCTAGGGAGAGGAGAAATACTCTAGAAATATATTTTAAATTTAAATTAATATTTCATTTTTTAAACTTAAATTGTATGTATTTTAGTACAATTGCCTAAAGATTGAAGAGAAGTTTAGGATTTCTTTGGTTTAAGTGTTTAATATATGTAAACTTCTCTTACTTCTGATAGAGATGACAGGATTTTTATAACACAAACTTATTTGGAAAATGAAATATCTTTTTGCAAATACAGCTTAGATTTAGTTATCCTGGGAAAGGGAGTACATCCAGCTTTTGTAATATATCTTCTTTCTCTAACAAAAGACCTAGACATTTTCTGCAGCAATCCTGGTTTGTGAATCTCCATTGAAATCCTGAGGGAGTCCCCCTTTTGATTCAAAGTTTTTACCCAGTCCTTGTCCTGAGATCAGAGAGATCCTCCTGTTTCTTTATAATTTTATTACAGAACTCTGAAACACTTTTTTGGTGGGTAAGGTACTCCAGCATCACAACATATCAAAACCTGCAGAACACTGGAGTCCTACTTTGTTAAAAGGTTGATAAACCCCAGTAGATAGTTTCATGCATGTTGTCAGATTTTAGGGGCCATTAGGGTACATTGGTAAACTCTTACACATTTTGGGAAAAAAATGTAAATACTTCTTTGATGTTTGTGGTCAGGGTTCAAACTTGCAGCTAAAGAGGTTTTTAAAGGTCACTGAATACATGATCAAGCCTAATGCAGACTGTACACAGGGGACACTTTTAAAAGAGGGACTGTTTGTAATTTGGTGGAAGACCAGAAAGAACTAGAAGAATTATACAAATTATATAAAATATGAAAAAAAACCCCACAGTTAAAACCCTGTAGTGAGATCCATAAAAAGTGCGATTTATTTAATTTATTAAATTTCTCCATTTGACAATTGGGTGACAAAATCATAGTCTTTTCCTGCATGAAAATATTTCTTATATAGCCTGGTTTTTTAGCTGAACAAAATCACACATTACAGTAACTTTAATGCCAGACAAATTCAAAGAAGAAAAATTATTATTTTAATACCTAAGCAAGACTTTGTGAAGTGATTAAAGGATGATTTAAGGGATGACTTTCTATATCATTAAGGGATTTTCTGTCAAAGGATTCTTGTAATCTCATTTAAATGTCTAGAAATGAGCAAGTGAAGTCTGAGCTGATCTCCTTAGGCTCTTCAGGGAAGATAACAGGTACCTTTTGAAAGCTGTTATCTTACTGGCCTTCATTGTTTTAGCATGGAAGTCAAAATGTATGACAAGGCAAAGAGTGTGCTACATAGAAAAAGACACAGCAATCTTGAAATATTGAAAATGTACTAACATTTTACCGATTTTTTTTGGATCCTGTTTAAAAATACTGAGAGAAATTTTACCGCTTAGTCATAGTATTTGGAAAAAATATTCTGCAAATTATGCAACACCCAATATTCAGTACAATATACTCTAAATCCTAGTCGTTTTTTAAGTAGGTGGCTTTGGCCAAGTGCAGTAGAACATCTTTGTGTTTAACTGAAACAAGAGTCAGAAAGATGCTTTACATATGAGCAGCCCTGTGTGAGTCTGTGCTGTTCTATGCAAGCATGGTTTCTCTATTTTTTAGATGAGGTAAATCTGCACTGTTTAGATTCCTTTGAAATATTTTTTAATACACACAAAATACCCAGAATATTCCCCAATTAAGAAAACTTCTCCACATCTTCCAGTACATCAAGAAGTCTCATTTTTTCAGTCTCTGTACATGTAGACATTTAAAGGTAATGCTAGTAGTTTATTCTGCATGATACATCGGGGTGTACCACAGCTGAATGATGACCTGATAGTTGTGTAATCGTTTGGATACGTGCTCCTGGAAGACTAGCCATCTGAATTCTTTCTAAACCCAGACCTTTATTCTCTAATTGCCTTTTGTTACCCTCTTGCCAGTAGGTTATAGGTCTAGTACTAGAGAAAGTAAATCCACAACGCTAACTGTGCCAGAACAGCAAAGAACAACAACACATCATCGTTCACGTTCTGTGTCTCCTCACCGTGGTGACGATCAGGGCAGGCCCCGTTCACGTTTACCAAATGTGCCATTACAGAGGTAGGCATCACAAGTGAAACTCCACGTGCTTTCACGTTTCTGTAATGTGTCATTATTAACTTGTCTCTTGTTCAGGAATTTTTCACTATTTTAAAGCTTGGTTTTTGTATCTGGATTTATTAGTGCAGTATTTGAACTTGATATATGTTTTTATTAGTCACTCAAGAGCACTCATGGAATGAATCATAACTTTGTAAGATTTACCTCTTTTTACTCATATTTTCTCTGTGATTCATCATCTGTGTATCATGACAGATACATAGGTTTGGAAATTTTGTTTTTCAATCAGTGGCCAAATCTTCTATGAAGCCACTTAAGTTAATTTGTGGGATAATAGTGGCATGTATAAATTGCATTATTTTTAATGGCATTCTTTCAGAAATCATGTATTAATAATTTATGATTAAAAAACTTCCTTCAACCAACTTGTACTGTGATACATTGTTATTCATGAGAAAACAAGATTATCATACATGTTTCTGCTTTTCAGGAGTTTAGATGAAATTCATCAAATGAGAAGATCACGTTCTCCAACTAGACACCATGATGCCTCCAGAACTCCAGTTGATTACAGATCCAGAGAGATGGATAGTCAGTATTTATCTGATCAAGAAAGGTACATTGTCAGCCTGAACATGGAAAAAAGTTTAGAAACATCTTTGTCAGTTTGTCTGATTTTCAAGTTTTCATTAGAAATGTGACTGATAGCAATGGGAAAGGGAGAGAATTCATCATAACTGATAGATCTAGTGCCACTGTTAAATTATCTACACTCTTTTTTTCTTGTTAACACTGTGCACTAGGTTGACAGTAATTGGAGGTATCTAGATAAATGAATCTTGTCTGTTTGTCCTAGATATCCTACTGCTTTTTCCTGAATAAAGCTGAGAGATTTTTGCTAGAAAGCCATACATCTTCATGTATGCCCTAGCTCTTCTTGTAATGTACCAGTTGTGCTAGCCAGCGAAATACCAGACATGAATTCCTCCTAGCTGGGAGGTGGATGCATGCTGGTTTGGATTTGTATGCCTATACATTTTGGACATCTATGGGTGCAGTCTCCCAGAATCTTATGTAACATTCTGGTGAACTTTGTACATTACCCAGGCATAGCAAGGATAGTTTCAGTACTAGTTGTAGTGTGCAAAAATTTCCAGTCCTAGATGTGTCACATACACATCTCTCCCTGGAATACATTCAGTGGCTACACTCAAAGAACATGTGGCCTCTTAGTAGGCACAGTTTTCAGGTGCCTAGGAATGATATTCTGATAAAATGGAAGAAATTAGAATTTCTGTTAGTTTATAGCTGCAAAAAAAAGGTTAGAAAGGTATTTCAGCTCAGCAGTTGAGAAAAATAATGATGATAGTGGCATAGATTATCATTCTTTATGGGATGTTGTTTACTTTAAAAAAATCATATAGCTAGACTATAATATACATAGACTATAATATGTAATATATAGCTAGACTATAATAGCAAACTTACCACTCAGATATGATCAATTGGCATAGTAATGTCTTAGATTTTTTTTTCTTGACAGTAAGTAGATACTTACAGAACTAAGTATAACAAAATTTTCCCTATAATCTGGTAAATTCAATGTGAAACATCCGTTTCTTAGTGATGTGGAAAAGTAAACATTAAATCATAAAAACCTCTGGAAATCTTTGGCCAGTTTTGAAGCAACATAAAGACTGAGTAAAAGATTGTTCTTGCAGTTAAGCTAGTTCAGTTTTGTATATGATCTTGCCTGTTTTACTTTTGTGGTATGGTAACGTAGGTGTAGGAATTAATGAGTTATCTGGTACATTTAAAAACTCAAATTTATAGGCAAGAAGTGTGTACAGAATTGACTAAGTTTGATTTTTGTAGTGAATTTTCTTTCAGAGGTGAATTAAAATTGTTTCTAAATATAGTAGTCAGATTTATAATTAGGCTAATTAAGTAATGCCCACTTGTTGCAAATTTTTTCCGTTATTATGTATTTTGGGCAGTGATATATTCAAAAGATGCCTGAAGATATTTGTTTAATTGGTTTCTTATTCGTCAGATTTGAAGAACAAAAGGCTTTAAAAAGTAGCTTTTGTCAGCATAAATACAGACAGTTAACTGTCTAGAAATTTCTCTTTTAGTAAAGCCTCAGACCTAGACATAACTGGTGATAAATGCATGGATTATGGTTGGAGAGGAGCTGGGTTTACACTGAGCCTTTCCTGGGGATGAGCAGTGGGCTGCTGGATTTGTTCAGAATCTTTTCAGTGTTCACAAACTTTTTTTGCAAGTTTAAAGATCAGACATGAAGGATGTACGTGGCTTATTTGCAGGATTTATAGATGGGTCCATGTACCTGTCCTGGAATGTCTTGGAATAATAATCTTGTCTGCAGTGGTCTCCTTTTCCCCATTTTCCTTTTCATCTTTTCCCCCAGATTTCATCAGTTGTGAAGGCTGTTTAATTCTGGCAGGTTTTGCCAGCTTTCAGTACAAAAGAATAGCATCATAAGAAAAATCCAAACCAGATTTTCTTGAGAAAGATCCTCTGTCACATCCAAGAATTAAAAAACCCAACTTCGTGAAATATTATGCATTAGTATCAAGAGTAGTGTAGATATTATGTGTAGTGCATTTACTGAATCCTTCATCTAAACAAGTACATTCACACAGATATGTGATATAAACTTGGCTTGAAAGCTGAGGAATTATCCAATAATTGCAGGCCAGAAATTAGAGCTGCTGATTAGTTCCAATAATTTTCTCAGTGATCTGTTACTGGTTCAAAATTAATATTAAATAATAATATAGGTCTTTGTGAAAATAGTTACTACCACTCTTACAGAAGCATCTCTTGCAAGAAATTTGCAGTGGAACTTATTTGTCCACTTCAACAGTTTTATATATATTTATATACATAAATATACACATGTATGAATATATATAAACTGTTAGGAAAAGCTTTTTATTAATAAATCATTGTCCAATTTTCAAGAGCATGGCGCTTTTCTTTTTTTGTGTTTCTTTTATTCCTAAGTAAAATCTGTTAATTATGAGTATAGAAAACATTTATTTGACAATAATAATCTTTAAATGTCTCCCAAACCAGACTCAGTTTATCAGTGAACTGCTTATTCTCACAGTATTGGTAATCTTCTTGAGGGTTCTTTTTTTTTTTTCTCCTTAACTAGAAGATTTCATGGTGGATTTGCTATTTTATATCACTTTTCAGGATGACTTTTTAATTAGTGTTTGCTTTGGGCCAATTACAATAGATACTCTTTGGCTTAGGAAAAGTAAATATTAACAAAGTACCCTATGATTTAATGTGGACTTTGCATCTACTTTGCAACTTTAAAGAAAACAGTAACTTTTCTCCTAAAATCCCTAGTTGTTTGTAGTTAGGAAATCTGCATATTAATTATGTCAGTCTTCTGAGGTTATGAATAGAAATTTGGCTTAGAAAGAAAATTTAAAAATTCAGTTCAACTCTAGTGCATATTATTGCATCAAGCTAATGGCTCCAGATGTAGTTAAATCTTACATGACTCACAAGCCATTATTTCAAGCTGCCCAGTTTAGAATTTTAGATAAATAATGCTATAGTGTATCAATGAAATGGATCATTTTATAATGACATTGAACAACTGCTGCTTTATCTGTTTTGTAATGTTTTCTCTCTTTTTTTTTTTGCCATAGTGCTTCATGGGATTCCCTGCTTCTTTTAAAATTAGCATGTTTCCATGAAGCTTATGTTTAATTTCATATTTACAATGATAGGAGTTTTGGAGCTTGGTCTTTCTGATTGTGTTGAAGTGCATTAAACTACAGGCTTAATTCAAGGGGTATTTCATACCATAGTCATATTTACCATAGGCATAAATAGGCATTAATTTTACCATCTTGCTGGCTATAATATGTGTTTGGTTACAGTATAAGAAAAATAGAATAGATGGCTGATTTTCCTCAATTTGGAAGAATAAGAAACAAAAAGTTTGATGGCTGATCAGCTTTCTTGTTAGTTTCTTTAGGATTATCATTACAAAATACCTTTAAGAGCTATGAGTCAGAATTTATGTTTGGCCAAACACAATATTTCAAATGAACATATATTTTTGATTTTCCCTAAAGGGTGACTAGTTATTCTTCCCATAAACCAAGCTGCACTAAATCATGATCAAGTTTTCACTGCTTTTACGTGTATGATTTTGCAGCTTATGAAGCCACAAAACCCAACACAAAACAAACAACAGGCATCTTTCTTTTATTCCTAAAGCAGTTCTCCGTTAATTAGCTCATGAGACTACTAGAGGTTACTAGAAAATTGTAGCCATTTTATGTATTTGCTTTATCATGAAGAGCTCTGAAAAAGTAATTCTGAATTTTAAAGAAAAATATCACAGAAGGAGGTGCCACACTAAAATGAATTTGTTGAAACTGTAGCTATTACATGCATTTTTTGGCTCATATTTTTTGAGACATGCAGTCTTATCAGATTATCTGGGTGAATGCTTCTCATTTCTTTTTATGTTTTCATTTGCTTATCATTGGCATAACCCATGTCATCTAATGCTTCATAACTATATCTGTTTCACTCACCACCCATCCTGTCTGTGCAGTGAGCTTCTTATGCTGCCCAGAGCAAAGCGAGGAAGAAGTGCAGAGTGCCTACATACCATCAGGTAAATACAGGAATGTGGGAATCATGAACACATCTGGTCAGCTGTCCATACTTTGTGTGCCCAACGTTTTTTCCATGGTGGTATTTAGTCCTGGTAAATAAAGAACTTCCAAGTACATTGTGATCCAGATGTCAGTTTTCTTTTTTGTTTGTCTTAATTCATATTCAGATGTGCGTATCTGTTTTTGCACCTCAGCAGTAAGGATTAAAGGAGTTGAAGAAACTTTGGTTTTGCAGTTGTATTTTGTGGTAGATTTTCTGTCTAGTCACAAAAGTCCTGATCTCCCAATGCATGACAGCTTTGTAATAATTTCAAACTTCGTTTTTTTAGTTGGTTTTGTTTTCTTTTATTGGCATTTTTATGTTTATATAACAGCCATGCACAATTAAACAATCTTTGCTTGTTGTGACACCTAATCTCATGCTGATTTAGTCACTTGCAGAGGAATAAATACTGGTTTACAAGGACTTACTGGAAGTCCCAGATTTGAGGGGTTTTGTATTACTTGTTTTTGCATCTAAAAATTATTCTATAAATTGGATCCACATGTAAACTTGTAGTTTGGGCCCACCTTAATCTTCATTAATCTCTTGTTCCAAAGCTTGGAGCTCCCTGTCTTACTATTTTCCAGTGTTGTGAAACTAAACAGGACTGAAATATCTTTATCTAAAAAATCAAAGTCTGCTCCCTCACCTTTTTTTTCACCATGTCTATTAACCTTGTTAAAAATCCATGACATTGTGTGGAACCTCTTTTCATTTACAATAAGTAAAAATGTAGGTTGAAGTTAAAGAAGTTAATCATTCTACTGATTCAACCCGGTAGTTATCTTTTGTCCTTTCAGGATCTGGGTGTTGATGAGAGTTTTGTGTCAATGCTAAATGTTTAAAATCATCAAATGTTAAACCATGTTGTCTAGTGCCATTATTCATTTATTTTATGTAGGATTTTCTCTTACAAACAGTTTATTTTTTTAAATGCTTGGCTTGCTTTAATCTTCATCATCAAATTTGAAGCAGTATGGAAGATGCTGTGATAGGGTTCTGTTGTAAAGCAGAATAGTATAAAACTAAAATAATAAATATGTATGTTTTCAAAAAAATCTCTATCAGTGAAGCTGTTAAATTAGTTTTTTCATTATCAGTAGAAAAATTTTCATTCTCATACTTTAGCTGAAAATGCTTTTTCCTCAAGATTTTAGGTTTTAGGGTTTAATAATTTAACTTCATGTTATTTTATGTCTGTTTATTGTCAGATAATAGTAATTTTTCCTGCCTCCTTACTGTGTCCTTTTTGCTCCATCTTCTTTAGCTTCACCCTCTTCCTGCCCCCAGCCCTGTGCTTTCTCCTGTTCCTCTTAAAGATTATAATTGTCATTATAATTTTTCAATTACATTCCTTAAAGTCTCGATTAATGAAGTAAGTACAGCATTGTAAACTTTTGGTGCACTTTGTCCAGCCATTAGGTTTCTAAAAGTGTTACAAATCTGCCAAACCAGTCTGGTCACAGCAAAAAGCTGTGCAAGGACAGCAGTAGAGTTAGGTAATAGCTACACTGAATTCAGAGCCCACAGCTCTTCCTTGCCTTTTTCCTTATTCCATTTTTTGTTATTGTATTTTTGTGATCAAAAAAACCCCAAAATTCACCCTTTAAAAGTAATAGTAGTGGTATAGTATAAAACAGGATAGTACTTATAATAATGTATTGAAGGTGAATATAAAAGCAATAGATGACAATAGATTCATTTGTTTAAATTTAACTCTGAGGCTTGTACAACCCAATTCCAAATAATACCCCAAAACTGGCAATATACATTCTTGAAAGGATAATTTTGGAAACAATTTCAGCAAAAATTTGTTATATGCCTTCTTTTGTCCTTTCTTATTTCTAGTGACCTGACATTTATTCATGTTAGAATTTTTATAAGGCTTTATCCTTGTTTCTAGGCAGCTCACTGAACAATGGTTTAATTAGTCCTTGGGACAGCTTCAGCTTAAAATGGGAAAGAAATGGTAATGCTTTCATATTCAATGAAAGAAATTAGGTAGTCCAAGCTACAAAGTTAAGATATATGGTGAGCTTAATGCACCAGTTTGGAAAACTAGTCCTAGCTATCCATCCTATTGCTCTGTATGCAATTATTAACTAATAGAAGAAATGGTGGGAAGGTGAGTACCACCTGCTATAGATCATGGGTTGTCACATTCCGTGTTTTAAATCACCCCTGCTTTAATTGGTAATATCTGCTCATATACCAGGATTGGCCTGATGACAGCCATTCCTTTATTCCTCCTTTGTGATGTTGCAGTGACCTCTGATACAGAAGTCACCTGTGGTGTCCACTAAACCCGCACAAGCAGGGTCGAAGCTCCTCTGTTAAATCCCTCAGGGTTTTACAAATACTGATACATCCAGGCAGAGAGTTGATTCATCTGTCTGTGACACAGCCAGGTTTCTAATGTTGATCCTGCTGTGCTTTGGTCCGAGGCTTAACAGGAATCAAAAGGTCCTATCAGGACAGGCTGTTCTTGATGCTGCAAAAATCCTCAAGCCTGCTGGTTTTTCTAGTAATTCCATAGCTGTGCCCTAGTAGGGTATGTGGAAAATGGTTTCAATGTTGTTACTAACACTTAGCCATTAAATGGCCGTAATTCCCATTTGACAGCACTGCCTGCCTTTAAATTTGTCCCTTGTTCATTGGGTAGATCTGGCTGATAAAATAAACATTTCCTTCTCTAAAATCTATGATGTTAGACAGTTGTCATGTAGCACCTCAGTGCTGCTGTGCTGGCTCATGCAGTACCTCTCCTAAGTTTTTAAATTACCTTATAATTAGTTACTTTTAATTCCTGGTACATTTTAAAGCTGATACACCACTTTCAAAAGACCCACATTCAAAAAAGCCAGATGCTAATACATTTGTAGTTAATATTTTTTGTATTATATATCCCTATTTTTGCAAGATTTTCATGCTTAGCTGCTTAGATTAAAATCTCTGCAGGTCTAAGTAAGGAGTCTCTAAGAGAAATAAAAGGTAAATTTAATATCAACCTAAAGCAGTCTGTATATTTTAATTAAAAGTATCTAGAAATGGAATATATATTACTTCAATTTCAAGAAAACATCTGAGCTGTACTATTATTTGCATAAGTTCATGCACTTCATTAAGAAAAGGGTTAATACAAAATTTTTCCCCCAGATAACTGTCACAGTACTAGAGAAAAACATATATGAGACATCTACTCCTACAGCTATACAACATAATAGAATATTATGCATTAATTTTATGTTCTGCCTTTACCTGTCTTTTTATTTCTGGCATGTTTTTTGTGTTGTCCTGTCTTTTCTGACCCACCACATTCAAGAAGTTCTGTTAGGCACTATAAAACATTACCACCCAAGATGCCTTTACTAGAAAATGGTACTCATTGGAATCTGTACAGGTAAGCAGTGTTTAGAGTCCCCTTTAAGTAGTTAGCTTCTTTTTTAAAAAGTAAATAGACTTCCCTTGTTAAAGAAGAAAAATAACAAAATGTTTCATACATTTTTATGACGGAGAGATAAGGGATAAAATCCTAAAATAACTTCATCTAATTGTTTAAATTAATAGCTGCCTTACAAAAAAACCCTAAACCAAACTACTTCGTATTAGTTGGAGTTGTCTTCACTGTTAAAATTATATGTTGCATGTATTTCTTTATTACATTCTTTTGTTTATGTATGAGATTTCTGTTATATGTTAAATTTATTTTCATTTTGTTTAAATAATTTTAATTTACAAAGCTCAACTCTTCCTGCATGTGCTAAGACCAAATCCGTGATTAGACAGGATATTTCACTCCTTCATGATTGCCTTAATTCACGAATATCGAAATTTGGAGATGATCTACTGGTTAGGTAAGACACTGAGGATTAATCTCCCCATTTGTTTGGTATCTAATATGGATTTTGCAGAATAAATGAGCTTCACTGTAAAGGGATTTCACATGACATATAGTGGATCACATTCTTTTATGTTGGCTTATGACTTACTGCTGTTATAAGTATATAACTTTATTGTTTGGTATTTCTCATTCCACTTTTCTTACAAGTGGATGCTGTTCTGTCTCATTCAGTTTTAAACATTTCAATGATATTTGCAAAAAATTTCTAGCAGCCTTTTGTTTGCTTTTATTTTCTAAACAAATCTTGACACTATCATCCAGTCAACTCTTTTATGTTTTCCTTAATTAAATCATTGTGATTCTACATTTTCTGTAAAGAGAGCATTATTTTATGAGTTAATATCTAACATTGTATTCCTTTCTTTGTTTTCTTTTTCTTTCTCTTCTACCATTGGATGCAATGCACTGGCACTAGTGAACTGCAGCCCTCCCTTGACAGGGCTAGGAGTGCTAGTACCAACTGCTTGAGACCAGATACTAGTTTGCATTCACCAGAACGAGAAAGGTATAAAATAAAAACTTATGAATTTCTTGTCATCTGTGCTGGTGATCTTTATAAGTTTTGTTTTTCTTCATGAGTATTCTACATTCTTGTACATTCTTGTCTGCTTTGGTATTTGTAGACATTTTTGCTCCTATATTCATGTATGTCATGTAAATTGTGTGTTGGAGTTTATAACTGCTTCTGGCTACTTCCTTTGTTTTAGTTCAAGCTAATGTTCATTGTTTACAAAAGTCCTCAGTATGCTGATAATAGCATTGCAGTGTTAACTATTTTGAAACTACCACTTGGTTGTGAATCTTCATCATCATTTGCTAAAAAAGCATTACATCTGTTTCTTGCTTGTTCTGTGGACTGCTAATAAAGCGGTGGCATAAATTAGAAAGTACAACAAAACTCTCACATTTCAAACCAGAGCTGTATCAATAGTGATATATGTTTTACAAAACAGCCAAACATCATTGCTTTCTTTAATCTGCTGCATCTGCTTTTGCAAGGCAGATAACTGCATTAAGGTTGTTTTGCTCTGATAATATATTAAGGTTCACATAAGTCTTAAGACATGTTTACAATTTAAATGAAATATTATTGTGTCACATACATTGTGCAGGCATGTTATGGATGCTTTCTGTACTTTTACAATTGCAATAGCTTGATTCAAAATTTTAGTTGAATCAAATACTACTGTTGTAAAAAGGATGATTCCACAAGAGACCTTTTCATCACTAGCCATGTTTTTGCCTAACAATTGTACCACTTTAGAGAGAGATTTTAGGCTCACTAAGGGCAATAAGGGCTCCCTTTGAGTGGGAATAGGGCAGAATTACTATTTTGTCTGTGCAGTACATATTTAACTAGTATGGAAGTTAATAGTGCTTTTTCAGTCGATATGCAGTGTGGTGGTAGTAACAGTTGTGTTATTTTCCGTATTGTGGGACAGGATATGTGAAGAAAGGCACTAAGAATGCACTTTTTCACACTCTTTGCCATAGGGTGTCACCTGAGTTTTTTGTTGATAATTTCCCTTTCCTTTCTCCCCAATTCCTGCTGCTTCTTGGTTGGAACTGTGCTCTTCTTAAGTTACGCTCTTGTTGCAGAGAAGTGAGTAATGTTCTGTTGAGGCATTCCTGATGGATCTACAATAGTTTATTCCTTTATAAGTCTGATCTCAAGACATTACAGATGATAAGAACATGGTTATTAAAAAAGAAAAAAATCAGCTGACATAGAGCCACTCAGAATGAAATACAGATATTTTTCTAGGTATGTTTTAAAAATACTGTAACATCAACCGAGTGTGTACATATGTACAGCTGCTTTCATCTACAAGCAGTTAATTAATTAATATAATTGCATATAAACGTGAGCAGTGTGTTCTGTACTTACTTCAAGATGCCACCCATCAAATTAATATTCAATGAAACACTAACTGGTAGTTATAAACTATCTAGTAAAAATTTTGTACTCAAAACTACATCTGTCCTGAAGTGAAGTAATTCTATTATGTCTTTAGAATTCTTGTCCAGCAACCTCTGTCCACTGGGCACTGTGCAGAATCTGCATCATTTTGAAAGAGCTCCTCATAGAGGAAAGTGTTTAGTCTGTATTAATGGCCTCTTGCTACTAAACATGTGGTTTTGACAAATCATCAGAGGGTGTAATCCAGAAAAATTGTTCATCACTGTGAAAGTTTTGCTTAGCTTTAGAAGTCCTAAATAGGAGGTTTTGACTTGGGATCCTTCATAGAGCAGGAAAGCTCATGTTAAGGGAATTCGTATTCAATTTTTTTCTTGATAGTTTCATTGAAAAGAATAAGATACGTGTGGTCTTGGCAGAGGATTTTCTTACTTTCTTGTGACATAGAAGATTTTCCTATGCAGCCTAAATTTTGGAGGAGGTTGTTATATTTAATATATAAACCTTGCCAAATTAATCTTTTTGTTTTGGGAAACATAAATTTTATATGATTTAATTCTCCTCTGTTGAATGTGGAATCTGCTTACACTTGAACATGAAGTTAGTCATCAGTTGCATGTGATGATAGAGGAGTCCTTAGTCTGAAGAACACAGAATTAAGTTCAGGGTCTGTAGAAACCATTTTGGTTCTTGCTGGACAAGATGAAAACAAAAGATTTAAAATACAGTAAGACAAGTTCACCTTAAGTGGTAGGAAATCTCTTTTGAAAGTAATTACAATGAGACACCAAACACAGTAAAAATTACAGTGTAATAGACAATAAGGAAAATGTTGTGTTCGTTACTGGAGATTTATAGGAGATGAGACACTTGTCAGGTCTAGAATTGGTCCATTAAAGAGAAACACTCTAAGGTTTTGTTAAGTCCAATCTACAGCACTTTGTCAGTATATTTGAGAGACTTATGTTGAAGATGTTGTTAGTTGTTTTCATGGTTGTTTCTTCTTCCTTCTCTCCTCCCTGAATGACAGCATTGTATATTTTGTTTAAAAGTCTAGACTTTTATGCCTCTAAATACAGACTTCTAAATGCAGCTTTGTATATTTTCTTCAACAAAATTAGGAAGGTACTTACCTATGGAAAATTACTTATACTTATTCCCCGTAACCTTTTGACTCAGAGGATATGAATTAGATTATATTTGAGAACAAGAGCTAAAATAAACAGCTGCTTAACAAAATGGTAGTGTTATAACAGATGGACAGTAGAGCCCTGTCTCTGTCACTGATTTGCTGGAAACAGTTTTGATCCTTGAACTTTATACAATGCCATTCATGTCATTTGGAATGGTCAGAGTAGTTACTGGTTTTTAAGACACTGCTTTGCCAGTAAAAGTTATTCTATTGACTCACTTGTACCAGCAGAAAACTGCTTTCAGCTGTATATATGAATTTGTGATATGAAAGTCTAGTTAGTTTCAGTATAGCAGAGTCAAAACAACAATGGGGACAGAATTCCTTTTCTCCTCCTATAAGTACCATCATTTAATGGACCAATTAATGTCCATATAACTTGACTGGCAAACTGACCTTGCCTTGACACAGGCCTGCTAAAATTTTTTGTTAAATGGACTGATTTTACAGAGTTTAATCCTTCATATACTTCTCTTTTGTGCAGTATACTCAAAGACATTCAAAAATATCAATCCCCTACTAATACCTCTATGCAGTTGCACCATGCCTGCATTTTTTTTCTTTTCCCACCATCTACCATCTATTTATTCCAAGCTGTTTTGCTAATTTCTTTTTTTTTCCGAAATGATTCTGTGGTTCAAATTCCTTTGATGATCTGTGAGACATCTTTAAGTTTATAATTTGTCCTCTATAACCATTGAAATTGTTTTTCCTGGGAGTACTTCATTATGCTTTGGGTTTTTTAAATTGTTATCCTTTTCACTATTTCTCAAAATTTCTGCTTTTTTCCTAGTAAATTGGGTGTTATTTCTTTAGAATGGAGAAATTTCTTTTCAACACCCAGTCTTTGCTCAGGAAAACACCTAGACATGAGGTTCAAGGGCAGACTCTGAACTGATTTAGGAATGGTTTCTCATCGCAATAGCATGTTCCCCAGGTTGATTTAAGATTGCCAGTGATGGTTAATAATGTGTAGTGTGGCTATTATTTACCCTCTAAATTTTTGCTGTTGCAAGCAGTTGTAGGTGTTGGCAGTTAGCACAAGAACAGTTGCACTGATTGGTACTTCTGGAATGCTTTTGGCCTGAGACATCTTAGTGGAGATCTGAGCAAATAAAAATGAGGAGCACAGCCCAGGGATTAGGTCATGTACAGGGGTCAGCAAACCTGCAAAATACAGCCCCACAGCTGTGTTAGAATTGTTCTGAGGTGCTTCACTGCAGTGGGAGTCAAAACAAAAGATTTGCCATCAGCTGGTCACTACTATCTAAACAAGAGACAAAACTCAACAGTTGCGTGTTACCTAATCATAAACAGATACCAGGGAGGTTGATCCAATTAGAGCTTGTCCTGATTTCATGTTGATTTTTATATTGCATGCCCGTAACAGTTATGTCAAATCCCCCCATTTCCATTTAAAATAATGTGCAGTGAAATAACTGTTTGCATTAGGTCTGTGACATACTGTCTTTCTGGTTCTTTCCAGCCAGGTAGAGACATTTGGCAGTTACATGTTGGTGTTGTACTGTGGCTCACAGTCATTCAGCATTCAGTGAAAGGGAGCATGTTCTGAAAATTTGTACTGAATTACCTGGTTAATTCTATCCAATGCTCTTTAATATCTGTAGTGGATATCAGCATATTAAGGGCTTTGACTGAGTGCACTGATGCATTAACATTTTCTTTAACTCTTTCTTTAGAGAGAAAAAGAAACTACCTACTAACAACATATTTGCTCTTAAAACATCTGAAAGGCCTACCTAACTGTTCAAATAATGCTCATGTCCCTGAAACCTTTGTTATTTGCATGTTCCATAAATCAAACCCTTTTCTTTATGACATGGACTGGAAAAATGCCTCAGAAAGGGAAATATTAGATACTTGTGCTGAGTTTTTACAAACATTTTGCTCTTTGTCAATAAATCCATTTGTTTTGGTATTGTAAATTGTTATGCATACACTTGTTGCATTACAAACACATGACACCCCCAAAAAATAAGCAACATCAGTCTAGTTAGTATATATATATATATAATTATATACATATATATATTACTTATATAATAATTATAGTATATATAAGTCTAAATTGAATGAGCTTTTTCAAGCAAAAAACCCACGTAATACAACAGTTTTCATTCTCAATTCAGGTCCTTTTTGTTGACTTTATTTGTGCAACATAATGTACTGGCATGTACTGCAGGGATAAAGAGAAATGAACGGAAGAGGAAGCTGGCTGCACACACTTTCACTCTATATTTTCAAATGACAAAAAAATGACCCCAGTACTTGTGCACAAATGTGTGTATCTTAGTTTTAGTGAAATAATTTACCTTCATTCTTTCACTGCATTCCAGAAAACACTTACTTTATGCCCTGGGACTTTTACTATAAATAATAGCCCTACATTTTTACTGAGGTTGTATTTTTTCATGTAAATAGCTAGGAGAGATGGGATTAACAAAATACCAAGATAATGAATATTGTATGGTCTTTAAAAGTCTTCTAATTTGGAATTGCAGCTTCCTACACAAATGACAGGTTTTTAGGTAGTCAAGCATTTGAGACTGTTTGAAAACTTAATGGTACACCATATAGAAGATTTATGTTCGTCTAAATTCTGCATCTTTGGGCACACCTTCTCTTCATTTCAGATGTGATGTTTCTGCATTAAGCAGCCCTAAATAAAGTATAATTGGGTGTTGGAAAGCTGTTAGAAAAAAAAAAATAAATTACACACTTCCATTACTTTTTGGGGTATTTTTCCAGTCCCAAATTCCACATATTTAATTTTACCACAAACTAAATATTGTATCTTTTTCCTGTTTTATTGAACGGGCAAACAGGGGTAGATGGTCCCCCTCCCTAGAGAGGAGACGACCTACTAGTCCCAGGATTCATATCCAGCATGCATCTCCGGAGGATGACAGGTACTAGTCAACTCCTCCCAGTTCAAAAATGGCTTTTACTGCATCTTGCACTCTCAGAGGAGTACTCTGAAATTTAGAACTGTTCATATATGTGGAGACTTACAACCTCCAGAAGCCCAAAATAAAACAGCAGTTTAGATATCATCTCTGCATTTTGTTGAACAGTTATAAAGCACAGAAGAATGAACATCTTCTGAAGTTTTGTGTTTGTCTGAATAGTCTCAAGACACAAAATATGATGTCTGATAAAACAGAACATTATCTGTGTTAATGTTCTTTAGTCTGTTTTTACCTGCTTCTGTAAATGGTCCTGGTGCTTTCACTGTGGTGCTTTATAACGTGATAAATACTTGTTGTAGAGTGTATTCTTGTGTACATGTTTGTTTTCATTGGTTTTGGTTTTCCTTTGTTCAACAAACTGTTCCCAATGGGAAAAAAACCCCACAGGCTGATATGTTGGAGGTCTTGGTAACACTTTCTAGTTGATGTATGTAAAAATTGGCACTGTTTGTAAATTCTGTCCAAATCAGGATGGCCTCCGTGGAGCAGGTTTTCCTAATAAGGTAGGTTTTGATTAAGAACATCAGGGCTCTAAATAAATTTTTATGCTGAATATCGCCTATGATTAATAGAAGTTTTTTACTTCTCATGAGTGTTTTAATCACATGAGTTTTGGTATCCCATTGCTTTGACAGCAGTAACTTTTTAAATTTTTTATTTCCAGATAGATCTGGCTTTATTTCAAGCAGACTTTGCAATTTATATTTAAATGCAAATTCAAAATGTTTCTTTCAGTATTTTGTATTGCAGTAAGTGACAGGATACAGACTGATGTAAATAGAGGTTAATGTAAATAATCTGTACATGAACTTACAAAATTGCACTTGAAACTGTAAGACTGACACACCGGTGTCAGTGGTGCCAGTCCTGACCTTCTGCTGAAGTCTACCCACAGTACTGATATTTACACTGTGATTTATCTTGTTTGCTTATACTGAAAATATTCCACTTATACCAAGTGGGAAGTGTGTAACTGTGGGTAGTATTTCTTATTTTTTAACTTTGAGTTAAACAGCATTTTAAATTACAAAATTAAATTAGTGAAACATCATTTCAAAGCTGCCCTCCCTAACAGATACTGCATTTCCAGAAATTTTGCCAACACATCCCTTTGATGGGACAACTATTAAGAGTTTACAAATATTCTTTATGTCTTTCAGGTATTTTGGTTCTCATTTTTTGATTCAATGGAAGCCTTTGGCTTTCAGAGTATCTGAAAAATCAGATACTGAATCTGAATCAGATACAGAATCTGAAAAATCGGAGTATCTTGAAAAATCACTGAAATTAGATACTACCATTCTCAATGCCAAATAGAAGCCTTTTTACATCAGCTGAAATTTTGTGGAGAATGACTGAAATCATCTAACACCCACCAGCAAACATTTTGTAGTGAAGCATCTGTAGGATATAGAATCTTTTATGGAAAAGTTTTTGAGATGGATAAACAGCAGTCTAATTTTCTATGTGAAATTGGTGCCTTCTTGCATTTTTAAGTCTTGCATGCAATCTGATCACCAAAACCCAGTGATGAGAAGTCAGGCACTGATGAGCACAGAAGGAATTTAAGCTAATCTCAATGCTGATGAGTGTTTGCACCCTACCACTTCCAGGATTTTCTCTGACATTAAGAGAAATTCTGAGAACATTGAGTTTTTTGCATTGCATATCTGTAGAGAGAACATCAGTGAGGGAATTAAAGGTGCTTTACCTTTGTTCTTTACTCTATAAGCTTACATTTGTTCTGATTCATTCACTTGTTTTTTGCAGTGGGCCAGTGCTAGTCAGTTGAATAATTAAAAATTTTTTTAGATATGCTTGTATCACAGCTGAAGTAGTGGCTGTTGGGGAATGACTGATGGATCAGCAGGGATAACAAACTAATTGCTTATCACAACTTGTAAATAATATTTCACAGATTAATTGACTTTGACAGACTTCATCTTAGTCATCATTGGAGTGCATTACAGATTTATATTACAAATGAGTCCAATTTGCATATAGAATGCAATCAAGATCAGTTTGTGAATACATTTCTTTAATCCATGACTTATGCATTCTTTCTAATTTTGATAAATTATTTTTTGCAACATTGTATTTATTTCTAAGGGTTATTTACGTAAATTTTGATAAAAGTTTTGGGAATATTGTTCTTCTGGAATTTGTTCACTTGCCATATCAGGAAGAAGTGACTCCTTGATATGTTGATGAGACGAAGACATGAGTTATGTATTCTTTCAGTGCTAATTTGCAAATGTTTGGTTAGTATCATGTATTTCTAGAAGATATTTTAAAGGATAGCTTTTCTATTGAATTTGATAGCGTAATTCCTTGAAAGTTTTGTTGGTTTTTTTTCTATTTGAAATTAGAAAGTCTAAATCTGTAGTGTCTACAATGTAGACAGATGGGTATCTGGAGAACTGTGAAATTGTAAGTGATGATAAAAACAAGGTGAATGCAAGATGAGCATTTAATGGGACGTGAAAATTTTTTTCAGAGTAGTATTCTGGAAAAATCTGCATATAATATCAGCATATAACCAAGACTGGATAAAATAAGCCTTTAAAAAAAAGGGATTCACATATATTTTCATTTAAGAGAAGTAGCTTTTGTCTGTCATGCATGCATGTGTAAGAATGATTGTCCCAGAGTCACCTGAAGCCAACTGCAGAGCAAGTGCCCTCCTGGTACTTGCAGGTGCCATGCAGATCCAGCCTTTAAAAAAACTTCAGTAAAAGTCAGGAAGTACTGAACAGGACATTCTTGGTGGCTTCAAGGCTACATAAAGTAACACTCACTGCAAACCACTGAGGGCTCTTGTACAAGACAGAAATAAATCATTTAAAAACACTGGACACTGAATTGTATAAAAATGTTATGTTTTCATCTCAGAAGCAGTAATTTTTAATTTCAGTAGGAATATTGTCAAGTTTCTGTGTGTAGATTTGTTAACACAAATCTGTTAAATATACTGAGGCACATAGAAATTTGGAACATGAGCTGTAAATAGCTTGTCTGTATATAAAAAATAAGTAGTGCTTGTCTATATATGATATATATTGTTCAATGATTTGGTGTGACAGTTGGAAGGTCTTTGATCTTTGAGAGAAATTTTAGCCTTTCCTGACCCTAATGGAGGCATAGATGCAGATATATTACAAAACTTAGATTATGATTGTACTACGAATTTTGCTGAATTTTCTCATTAAAATCTAAATTTGATATTTGAAAAAGAAAATATTCCATTCATAGATCTTATAATGTATTTCATTAAAAACTAATAATAAACCAACAGGGTAATAATATTTTTGCAAATTGAAAGCTGTGAACACATTCTGTGGCTTCAGCAGAAATTAAAATACCATAGAAATTCAGAAATATTCCTATATACTTTTTATAAAAAAAAAATTGAGTCATTCTACTTTGCTCTCAAATTATTGCTAATTGTTACTGTAGCAGACTATGTAGCAATAGAATATGAAGGTTTCATCAAAATACATGAAATTAGGAAATTTACTTGCATTTTCAGGAGAATTTCACAATAAAATGACAAAATATGCATCTTCTTAAGCAAAGAGTTTTTTTATATGTTTTTATATTCTCAAGAAGTTAAGTAACAGTGCTGCCATTCAGCATGTAGGGTATAATGGTTTCTAAAAATACTGGTGTGGCTTTCATTCTATACTTCATTACCTCTTAGACTGTTGATCTTACATCTAAAATTTTATAGTGTTTGGTATAGGAAAATGAGAAATACAGCTTTTCTCAATAGATAGTGACTTAATGCTTTTTGTTTATATATTTGATTGCATGTCTCCACCTTCACTGCATGTGACCATCTCTCTGTTTCTGCTCATTCCGTCCAAATTCACATCCATGTTTCCAAATATTGTGAAGAACAAGGACGCTGGAGTCTTGCATTCCAAAACAGGACAGTGTAGACCATCTAAGTGCTAAACCTGGAGCAGCACAGAGGTATCCTTATTTACTGAAATCATAGACCAAAGTAACCGAGGTATTGGTTATAGTATATTCTTCATATGCTCTGCATTCTTTCACACATTTTTTTTTGTTTTTTCCCCCTGGTTTTATGTACAAGTACATATATGCATGTATCATTCATGGATAGTATTTTTTTTTCTCCTATGAGGTTCGTTTAGGAAGTAAATCAGAGCATGTTGAGCTAATTGGAAATGTATACAGCATCATCTTAGCCAGAGGGAGGAAACAAAAAGGAAACTGATTTTAAATAATTTTTAGTACGTGCTGCTCTCAAGGACAGCCCAGAGAGCAGAGAAATAAGTGTGCTCAGCTCATTAGTGCTGTGTATTCCTGTGTTGTCACAGCAAGGCACGTCCTGCTCTTAGCTTTTCCACCTCACTGAAACTACTCACTATGTGCTCGCTTTCTCCACTCTATGCCAGGTCACAATCTAGGCAAGCAGTATAAGGAGTAAGAGGAAAATGAAAATAAGCCCCAAGCAGAACCAACTAAACAGAAAATGAAGAGTGTGGCATAATTTGAATGGTGATGCTGCTGCATACAGTGGGTCTAGCTATCACTTTTAAAAACTTTGCTAAACTGTAGGTTTTAAACAAAGCTGCAGCATTTAATATGTGCTTTTTCCTCTGTATCCGCTTTATATTTGTCCTGGTAAAGGAAAAAATTGAAAAGCAATGAAAATATACTAAAAATAAATCTGAAAAAAGTAGATTGAGGAAAAAAGGGATTTCAGTTTTTAATCTGACATACTTTTTATTTGTGAGAAAATACATTTTTTAAAATCCAGAAAGCATCAGGTAATGGCCTCTGCTCTTGCAGAAAGCATTTTGTATTCTGCTGCAGCGTTTTCTTTTTTGTGGACTCCACTGCATCATAATAAAATGCTCATCAAATATTACAGTGGGTAAAAATAATTAAAATCCACTATGATTATGTTCTTTGGGCAGAACTTGCTGTCACAGCTGTTTAGATCTCTTCCAGTTCAGTCACTGGATTGCTCTTTATGACCACAAAGGTTTAAAAGGAAAACATGCTATTTTAAATATTATTTCTGTCTCTGTTTTTCCCACAGTAATTTATATAGTCTAAAACATTACATTGATTGTATCATTGCAAGATCTTGCATGCATTAAAATTTGTCAGCATTTCTGGTCTAGGAATGAATAATCATCACTCCCTGGTTTTACCACTCCTGAAACACTGTATGCACTTTTTCTTCTGAAAAAAAAAATACATATTGATGATTTTCTGCGATTTAAAGTAGTAAATCCTAGTTTGTAAATGCTAGCATTACTATGGATAGTACAGAATACAAGACTTGCAGAGATTTACATGTCTTTATTATCCTGGGTAATAATGGTGAAACAAGGCTTTACCTTTCTTCTTATATGTACAGACTCCTAATACTCTTCATTGTTCTTATTTAATATCAAAGTGAGTGCTTAGATTGTTCTGAGGTAACTAGTGCCTCATTTTCCAAATGTCAGATGAATTCTGTAAAATATTTGTGTAGGAAAGGAGTGAAGGAGTGAAATAATTTCTAACTTACTTATATTGACTAGGAAGAATATAGAATTGGTTCAATCTGTTTCCAAAACCTTTAAAATTGAATGGAATGAGATTTTTGAAGAAACAAGTTTTTATTAATATAATGAGCCTTTTAAAAATCTGATATGATGAAGTATTTGTTTTGCTTTTGAAATTTAGATTTAAAAGCAATTTTAAATCTATTTAAACCTTCAAGTGTAAATCTATTTAAACCTTCTGTTTTTTCTACAAGTTTTTTTTTTCCTGCTGTCTACTCTGAACTTGTTTCTCATGCTGTTAAGAGATGACTTATAGGTCTATGAGGAGTCATTGTTTCTAGTCAAATGTAGGCTGTGAAGTGGAAACTAGTTGCAGGCTCAGTCAGGATTAATGGTTTTTTCCCTGTTTTGGTACCTCATAAACTGCACACTATGAACCTCAATCAAACCTAATTAATGCAATGTCTGTTAAACCTCGACTTCACCAACCTGTTTATGATGATAGTTGTCACTTTCTCATCTGTCAACCGTTTCTTTTATTACCTTTACAATACATAAATAAATAATCTTCATATTTCTGTATTCTTTTTCTTCTTTGTTTATTTCTTTTCTGACATGTCATTTCACAGGCAGTCCAGAAAAGTGGAAAGATATAGCAGCCAAAAACAAACTAGGAAAGGCCCTGCAGCTGAAACAGAAAGGTAGGAGTGTTGAATGATGTGTAAGCATCTCTTATTATCAGTCTGATTCCAGATTTTGGAATATACCTCTATTATGACTTTTTAGAACATCTGTGACGGTACCAAAAGCTATAATTTACAGTATTCTATACGGTTGCCATAATTTACAGTATTCTATATTTTATATCTGTATTATTAGCACTTTGTTGCATACATATGGAATTTTTCTGGCATTCTCCATGATTGCAGATAAGCTCAATGGAAAAGACTAGAAGTGCTCTTCTGCACTTTAACACTGACTCTTTTTCAAAAAAATCCTTATTTTGCATTAACTTTGAGGATGAAAAACCACAATGTATTATATAAATAGATAGCTATAACAGATAAATAATTCAAAATGTCTCTGATCAAATGAATTTCACTTTAAAATATAAAAAAATTAAGTTACACATTTAAATCTATGCATAAAATTCATATAAAGACTGGAACTTTTTAAATTATTTTTTTAATTTGTATTGTCATTATATCTTTTAACTTTGATGTTACTGTAGTATGGGGTTGCATGTTCGAATTTTTAAGAAAAAGCGAAAAAATAAAAATATATACTAAATAATAAGTACATCTAGATAAGTTTTAAATCCTGTATATTGACTGAAATAAGATCAGTGAGGAGGGATTTTGATTCATACAAGTGGAATGTACATCTGTTTACATTGTGAGAGCTTTAAAACTTCCAACGACAACACAGACATCTCTATTTTTAATGAAATTGCATATTATGTAGCAAAACTTCAGCACTTTTCTTTAGTTTCACTGCTTCTGGTCCCAAAGCAATGTCTACATTTTCCTTGAGTCAGGTGATTCTGTTGTCACAACAGCCCAGGTGCTTTTTCAATTTGAGTCAGAGAGATTCCTAAATGATGCCTGAAATCCTCGCTATGATTGAATCAGGGACTGTTGTGCCATGGAAATTACTGAAACCTTTTTGTTACGCTGTTTTTTCTGACTTCTGAAAAGTAACTGATGTCCAAGGGGTTTGGCTCTTGTAATTCAGCAGTGAACCCAGGGAACAAGAGCAATGGGAAATATGAATTGTACTGCTTCTTTTTACACCTCCATGGCACATGTTGTGGGCTTCTGTTTCCATAAAACAATTCACTACTATTAGCTGTAAGACAGAAATGTTTCAATAAGTCTGAACGCTGTAGTTCAGTATTCCATCATAAATGTAATGTTGCATTAGTGGCAGAAAGTTTTGTTAATAGGATAGACAATGAATTTTCCTGTCAAATATAACTTGAGACTATTTCTTCTTCAAATACTCATTTTTGTTGTACAATTGGACTTTATTTTTATACTTGCAAATCCTGTCTAGTATTAGTTAAGCAGATTACTGGAATAACCTATCAGCATGCTGTCAGCATCTCTATAGAGCATTTCTACATGCTATACAAGATTAAGTTTTCTGTGTAGTGTGATAGCTTAGGAAACGTACATAAAAGGGAAAAAAACAGCTTTTTGAAGATAATTTATAAAGCCTAAAAGTTCTCTTATTTCAATGAGATAAGCCTTCTAGATATGATTCAGTAGCCTGTTCTGAAGGAGTAAAATTGATTACACAAAAATAATTTTCTGTTCTTGTATGAATGAGCAAAAATTTGTTCATCCCAATTCTAAAATATTTTCTTTCAGCCCTAACCATGCCATTCCCAGATGTGACATTACCTGTCATTAGGATATATACAATATTGATCTGTATTTTCTATATTTGGCATAGGACACTATTCCAGAGGTGAGCTGGATTGATTCATTGCCTCTCTTATTCTTAGTTTTTCTTTATAGTTTCTTAGGTAGCAGCATGCTACTGAGGCATCAGTCTGAAGGGAAAGGAATTTGAGTTTTCTTGTGTTCTGGCCAAACTGGAACCTGTGTGATTCCCCTATAGGCCATTGACAGCTTGCAGTGTCTCCTTCCTCTCTGAGCAACCAGGAGCTGAGATACTCATGTACATGCTCATTGCAGTCTCACTGCTCACCAGCTATCATTTTTTTCCCAGATTCTTCTTCTCTCTCTACTTCTTACTTCACTTCTGTCTCATCTTCTCACTAGCTTTTGTCTTCCATATTTGCTCCTTGTTCCTTTTTGTCTCATTCTGCTGATCAGACATTTGCAGGCTTCTTCCTGCAAGCAGCAGATCTTCCTCCTAGGACAGCAAGTCCTTAACACCATTCTAGTTGTTCTTCAATTGCCTTTTATCTCTCTTTTTATTTTCACCCCAAGAAGCATATTCATATCATTGTAATATCCCAGCTAATGCAAATATTAAGCCTGATTTGTCTTCATTTGAGTTAAGCAGATCCTCAGTGTATCTCTTGGAAGGGGATGTGTCTGTAAAAAGAATATTACTGGAGAAGGAGATAAGTTTCTGAGTTGCAGGTACGTCCTGTCCTGTTCTGTAATGGCAGGACAGACTTCTAGTGTTTCACTGGGCTCTCAGATAAATTGCCGGATATTTAGCTTCTAAAAGGAAAAAAATCAGAACCAAAAATATGATGATTTAGTTAGATTGAAGCATTTATCCAAAATAAAAACAAATGAAATTTCTGGCACAGAGTGATGTCCATGTTTACCTTATGGATGTTATGATGTCTAGACATCTGATAGATGCTTAAAACCTATTTGTGTGCAATAGTTGGCATGGTTTACTTTTGCAGTCAGCATGGAGAAACAGAAATTTTCAGAAGTTAGGTCATCTTTGTTATTATAAGCATCTTTCAGAATCAGGAAATTCAGTTTCTACAAGAATGTTATGGTTGTCACTAGGGCAAGCCAGGAGTTAGCTTAATAAATGTTAGGATTTAAGAGAGAGAATACAAGCTCAAGCAGCAGAATCTTAGTTTATTTTGCATAGTGACGGGTCTTCCACAGGGACTGTTACTGATTAAATTGCTTTCAATCCAAACATGTTTGTTATCCTTGGTAGGCATCCTTGTTTAATTTCATATATAGGGGCTTTTTTAGGATTGCTTCTTAGTGTATGATAGTCATATGAACCAGTCAGTTCCTTGGATACCCCGACTGTGAGGAAGTTGTGCTGGGTGTGTGAAGGGAGACTTCATAAGTCTGCAGAAATTAAAAAAACCAAACCAAAACAAAACCAAACCAAAAAAACAACCCCCCCTAAAAAACTCCCCCCCAAACCCACTACCACGACCAACAAAATATCACCACACAATAAATGATGGCACAAGAATTGAAATTTCTGATATTATTTCTGATACAGTAGTACTGTTCACAAAAGGCTGTCCTATTGAAAAGCCAAACAAGACTAAAATGAAGTTAGAATATTTTGGCACTCTACAAACTTGAAATGTTTCACATTCTCTTATATTTGTAGTGTATGCAGTTATTGAACTAGTAATAATTATATTCTGTTATATTAACGTGATCAATTATTTTACTGCATAATAGTAGCTATACTTTCATTAGAGTTCCTTTAGAACTTTATTTCTGTTTTAGTACTTACAGATACTTAAATAGATTTTTTTATTTCAAACTGTAAGGGAAACTAAGAGAATCACAGATCTGCTTCCGTATTGTCCTTTTTAGGTCACTAACTGAAATGCAGTTAATATTTTTAATAAAAATAAAAGGTATGTTTTAGAAACAGAAATGCTTTGTGGTAAACCCAGGTATTCACAGCCTACTCTGTGCTAGTCCTTTCGTCGTATGTGTTGTTAGCTTGTGTTTGCTGTGTTTAGGGTGTAGCTAGAGGTTTTGGCCAGCTGTCCACTATAAGCACAGCAGTTCAACAGTTCCACAGTTAGGGTCGTGTATTTGCAGTGGTGAGGGTTCTGCAGTTTGTCATTTTGAAAATATACTTGCATTCAGAATGAACAGCTTCCATCTGACACCTCAGCCCTGGTCCTTCAGCCAGGATTTGCAATGCTCTTTGATGGAGGGAGGCATTGGGAAGGTGTGCCTAGAGCTAACAACTAAACAGTCTCTTTTTGGCCCCGTTGTTTTAGGGGTCTGCTACCATGTCTTTCTAGAAGGGGACTTCCATCCCTATGAATGGCTGAGCAGCCAGTCATTAGGGGAAAACACCACACTGGCTCCAGGTCAAGTGAGCAGGCTGGTGCCACACCCCTGTGCTCTGTACATCACCCAGCATCCAGAGGCTCAGCACCGCCTTCTCCACTTATGACAAAGCTGCTGTTACGTGTCCAGAACAGCTTTCATGTTCTGCCTCCAAGGTTTCAGTGTGGTGGTGTACTCTGAGCATTCTGTCATTCTGGCACTGTAGATTATTCTCTCTTCGTGGTATTTACACTTCTCCCATATCCTTTGTGCCTCCTACCTTCAATATCCAGATAGTACTTTTTGCTGATGAACTTAACTAGTTATGCAAATGAAGATGAAAAGGCTGGCTGTGTCTTGCCCTTCCATTGTGTTTTGTTCTGTATCCATATGGAAATTATCAAAGTATTTTTCTTAAACACTATGCAGAAAACCACATTGTTCACACAGCAAACTCTGATCTTATAGGCCAAGAGAGTCAGTTGATCTACCTAGTGAAAGCCAACTGTATTTTGAACCTGCACAAATGTGTTACTTTAAATTACAAATGATCTACTTGCAACTGGATAAACAGTGCTTATCCACTGTAGTGAGTGTGACATTACTGTAACTGGCAAGGGCATTTTGCAGTAAACTCCTCAGCAATCTGCTTCTTCTCATCTTTGTTTTACTTTCTTAAACCTTTTCCCTACAGTTATTATAGGTGCCCATACTTATTTTAAATGTGAGAATTCCAAAGGTGTTTGATACCTTACACTCTGAAACTGTATCTGTGAATAAGACATGAAGTAGCCAAAATGTTCTGAAACAGTGCTAGGTGGAGTTCAGCCAAAGGGGTTTAGGATATTTACTTAGATATTAATATTAAAAGTCTTGTGTATGTTTTGCATACACACACAGATACATACCCTTCCTTCCCCCCGCCCCAATACAAAAGTTAAAGGTCTTTTTCCTTCTTTGAGTTCTGGGAATAAACACATGCTATTCTTTGGAAATAGGTTCTTGCTGTCCAGTGCAATTATATGCCGGCCTTGTGCAATTATTGCATCAGCATAAAGGGAATACTAAATCTTATAAAACATAAAAGTGACATTTTATATTGCCCTTGTACAAGTGCAGGAGGATGTATATAAATTGTGAGTAATAATCTTAAGTGGTTCTTAGAAAACTTCTTTTCATGCTGTAGTTTTTCACTACTACTTTATCAAAAAAAAAACAACCCAAAATGACAAAAAACCCAAACAAGAACAAGCCCACAAATAAATAAATAAATAAATAGACAAATAAAACAAAAGGAAATAATTTTTCTATAGCTGAAGATAGTTAGAGAAATTAAATGTAAGTCCTTATAAGTTGACTAGTTATCTAGACTTGAGTGTGTGCATGTGGCTTAGACCAAATGCAAACTGTTTCAAACCCGTCTTCAGTACCTGCAACTTAATTTGTGCTTAAAATTCAGAATATAAAATGTCTCTTCATTTGCTTTATTTTGCTTTTATCTCAATTTCATTTGCAGAACACATCAGCAAGGAAGTCCCACACAGTCTCCTGCTGCAGACACCTCCTTCGGCAGTCGTAGGGGAAGACAGCTACCACAAGTTCCCGTAAGAAGTGGCAGTATAGAGCAAGGTATCAAATAATGAGCTTGTGATAGCTCAAAGTCTTTGATTTCTTACCCTTCTTTACTTTAAGCCTTCTTGCATAACTCCATGTCCAGTGCTATAATTCTGCCAGTAAAGCAATAGAAGAGAATGAAAGCATCTTTGTAGTTTGGGAAATCCAGTGAAGTTTGATTGGTGGGTTATTACACGTGGTTTAATTGCCTTACTTTTCTAGTACCCTGTCATGTTTAAATTTTCTACTAGAGTCATGGTAGTTTCCAATGTGTCCCATACCTTATCAGCAAAAACAAAACAAAACAAAAACAAAACAAAACAAAACAAAACAAAAAAAAAAAAGGAACAAGGATTCGAGGATTTTGACAGTCTCATTTCTTATTTTGTGGTTTATATTTATTGTTGTGTATTATTAACATAGATTAATAATAAATGTCACAGATCTCTTTTTCTTCTGGAGTTCATAGTTCAGTGAATAAAGAATGAAAGCAATTACCATGGGAAATGTGAGAGCATGGGTCACCAGTCCTTTCTTGCTTAAGAATGAACTGATCAGGCAGAGTGCTGCTCTTTTCATTGAAAATGACAATGTAGACCTGAAAAGACAATGTAGGCCTGATGATTATGGAAGAAGTTTCTTACATACTAAGATCAAATAAGGATGTACATTGCTGTTTCCTTTTCTAGCAACATACTGCACACAGAGAATGAGCTGTTATGGTAAAATGAAGTGGCAAAATGGATAATACTTGTGCATTTATGTTTTCTTCTGTGTTTAAAAAATTCTGTTTTCTCATTGACTACAAGCAACAACTGAGATTGCCACATACTACAAGGTTTTCTTTGTGGAAACTAAAGAAATGCTTATAATGATGAAATATTGTAATGCATTGCAGAACTGTTAGCAGATCACATTCTTGAACAGATAAAGTTGCTGACCGTGACCACCTTATCATGACAGATTACCAGTGAGGTTTTCTTGTATGATGGTTTGCATTAATCTCTGATCAGTTCCATTAATGTTAAGTCTTTGAGCTGTGATGGCAAACAAACCCCTCAATTAGCACATATAAAATGTACTCGTGTTTTATAAGTGTATTTCTTTTGAATGACTAATATACTTAGATAAGTGCCTTTTATTAACTCAAAACTTTCTATTCAGGTCCTCTCATTTTGTAGTGACTATACAGCTGTCTGAATTATAAACTAGGTACAAACTTCATTCAGAGTTCTATTTCTGCATATTAGCAAGTTGGGAGCTTTATAGGGAAATAAGTAATGAATTTCAACTTTCTCCCGTATTTCCACTTCAATTTCAGAACTTGGTGCAATATATAATGATGAATCAGGTTTTGATTTAATTTTAATTTGGCTTTCCTTTGCATATGCATATATCATCTTTCTGCTGGTCTTGGTAACTGGTGTGTGAGAGTAAAATACCAGTTTATGTTTTGCTGAAGGCGTTGGAAATGAATGTAGAACTTACCATGAAAATGAGTAGAAATGGAATGTGTACAGAAGAGGAAAGAAAAAATGAAAGTTGAGCAGAAAGCCAAAGCTACTCTAGGTTTATAAAGTTGTTGATACCATGACCACTTGTAAAGTAATGCTGTTTCAGTGAACTCCTGTTTACACTTGTGCTTAATATGCTTGCGCCTGATATATAAAATGTGCAGGTAGGATGCGTCGTGGTTTGCTTTGTTGCTACAAATCGTGCTGCCTGTGTCACTGTGGCTGTTTTACAGCACATGGAATCAGTGGTTAAAGAGATTTCCTTCTCTACACACTACCTTGGTTTCGTCTGAGTGACTGACTTTGCTTCTGAAAGGGAGCTTTTCTTATTTTATCCACATTTAATGCTCTGTTCAAGCTCAGAATGTATTTGCAGAGGAGTACTAAATTTAATAGATTTTATAATATGTGTTTTAAAAAATGTGTCAGTATCTGTTGAAATACATATGCCAGTACGTCTGACTTAATACTACTCTTAGAAATTAAATTCATAAGGCCATAAGACCTCAGTACTTGCTCTGATTTACAGTACTAGATTTTAATATTAGTTTCACCTCTATAGTCCCTGTCAAATGAGTACCAGGGTCAAATGTAGTGACCAGGAGTGATCTGACCTTAATGTAGAATTGAACCCAAAACATATTGAGTTCTGTAAAAGATTGACATTAACTGTGCTTGGAACTGAAGTGTGTCCTTAATGGTTTAAATTCACAGTCACTGTAGATGCAAATCCTAGTGCAATATCCAAATGTCATCGGAAATATTTCAAAATGCATTTTCTTCCCATATTTTGATAGTCATCTTGACATCATGTGTTTCAAGGAAAACCTGTATGATATCCCATGAAGTATTATTTCTATAGTAAAGTACTTCTTTAGGTTCCATAAAAAGCCTGTTGTTTCATGAGGGTCAAATACTCATCTAAATACATACATCTATGAATCTAAATATATACATATATGCATTTAAGTCTGTTATACAAGACATAGTGATTGCTGCAAAAAGATTGCATATTTGTATATCAAGAATGGACTTCTTATTTACTCTGTTGCACATTTGGGAGACATAGAAGAATCCAGTGAAGTAATTTTATTACTCTTTAAAGTTCTCATTATGGAATAGATGAGTTACTGAAGGAGCAAGAAACTGGTAGCAGTTGTCATGTGAAGAAACAGAGTGATATTTTAAGTATTGATCTCTAACCTTTAGCTGTCAATTATAAGTGATCATATCCATGCTAATACGACTTGACTAACACTGTATTTCAGACATTCCATTTTCTTGTCAAGTTTAGAATTAAACAAAAGTTTGTTTCCTTGTCTCTACCAAATGATACTTAGATACTACGGTGGTTGGCAGTCTGAGAATTGTAAAAATCCAGCTTACAGGAAAACAAGGGAGATTTGCAAGGTCTTGAATAATACACATACTTTCTTTACAAAAAAAAAAAAAATGCTCACAGAAGTAATTGATACAGAGAAGACCAAAGTAGTGATTCTTACTCCATTATAGAAACAGTTGGTACTACTGATAGGAATAAAGAAACAACCTTAAATGTTGAGGAAAAGGTCAAGCTTAAGGACTGAAACCTTAAAACAGTGTTATAATTCACACTGCAAAAAAAAACTGCGAGGAAGAGCAGGCTTCTTGGTGATTATGTTGTGAAGGTGAGAGCAACTTTGTGTAGCTTTGGAGTGGAGGAGTGGAATACTTATTTTCACTTGAGACAATACTAACCAAATAATAGCAACTTGAGGCCATGCAGACTTTAAAAAGTAGTTGCAGTTAAGACTGTAGACTTCTGTAATTTTTAGGCAATGTTATTTTTATGTTTATTACAGTCCTCTTCAAGGAAGACATAGTTGTGTTTCTTTCCTTTTCAAGCCTGTCAGCAGTATTTCTTAGAATGCAAGATTGGGATGCTGTTGTGTTGAAAGGTCTTGAGGTGTTTTAATATTGTAAACTGGTCCTGTATGGGTGTGTCTGTGTGTGCTTTCAAGACATCACAATCTAATAGTAATTTCCCTAACTTATGCTACTAAAGAAGTGGTTTTGATTTTTCTTGTATTAACGGATGATTTTATAAAAGGACCTAATCCTATGAGGATCTTTTGGCTCAGTGACTAAAGCAGTGAAATTCTAAGCCATGGTAAGGACAATGGTGTATTCTCAATATGTCATTATGTGCTGGGCTGTAAGAGATTTGCATCACTGGTTTTTTATTTGCATCATGTTTGAATGGAACTCTGCAATCGTTAAGAGGGATGGGGATTCTGCACTGACTTTGCTTTTTAGCTGTTTCTATAACAACTTTTTGATGTAGTTGCTTGGTTTTTAAATTATACTTTCATATAAAGGATGCATCTGTGATCTTTACTCAGTCCATCCTCTGTCATTGCAGCTATCAAACATCACAGGAATTCTTGCTTGAATAAGATTTGAGGGTGATTTCTACACTTTTGCAAAATGGTTGGTCGTTACATTGATCAAGGAAGTGAATACACCAGCAGATGGCAGGGATTATATTATTACTCTAGCAAGTAAATAACAGAAGAAAATAGTACTGTTGAAATTTATGAACCAGCAATATAAATGTGCAATGGCTGTAGTACAGCAACAGTCTTTTAGGGCTAATTCATGCAAAACAGATCTTATTCCCTCTATCTGCCTGTATTTGGATCTTCACAGCATGGTTTCATTTTTCATAGCTTTGACAATGTAGTTTCCTATTTCAGAATGTAGTTTGCTGTTTCATAATGAGAGTGAAATTTGTGATAATAGCAGTCTGTTTCCATGTGAAGACCATGTGTAAACCTGAGGGCAGCAGTGTGGTTGTGTGTGTTTGCAGTGGCATCTGGTTCCAGCAGTAGGGCTCGTGTGGTGACACCGGGCAAAGCAAGCGAGCACCCAGCCTTAGGTGTGGCTGTACCTTAGCTCATGCTGCCAAAAGCTTTGTATAGCACTTGTATGGAAGGTGAAGTGCACGTGTGTGTGTGCTGCTGCTGTTACATGAGGGAAAGGGACATGAAAACTCTGCTGGGGCTGAATGGGGATTACATGTGTAAAATTCATGTGTGTGATATTTGTACAATGGTAGTGACGTCAAAGAGGAACAAAGTGTATTGATGTCCAGTACTTTTTCTTTTAACGAATAAGAATCAGAATTTTGTGCAGGAAATCAGTATGTTGTCAAATAATACATTTAGTTGCAAGTATCTTTTTATATTTAACCAACTTTAGATCCCAAAAGAAAAGGAAATGCTAGTGAAAACCGTTCTGTGTTTGTGTACTTGATCATTGAAATGTCATTGCAGTGAGACTATGGCTGTGGTAATGGTAAAAGATCAAAGCCTTTTAGTCAAAAATTTTTTTTCAAATCTATCAGTATAAAAGTTGAGTGGCAGAAGAAAAAGGACAAGTCCTTTCAGTTTTAGATTTCAGTCTATCAGTGTTGTTTGTTTTGTCTCCATATTTCTGGTTTTATTTTAAAATTATTAGGTG